AACAACAAAAAAACAACAAACAAACAAACAAACAAACAAACAAAACAAAACAAAAAACAAAAAAAGCACTGAAGGACAATGATTGTGTCTGTGTGTGTCTTTTTACTTAAACAAACAAACGAGGCCGACTACACACCTTACACGCGTTCCGGCATAATCCGCCACAACCACTGAAACCATGAGAAGCACGGTTCGTTAGAACACGCATCCGTACTGACAATAGCTAGATCTACACAACAGGCAAATAAAGACGATGCAGGTAAGAGAATCTACGGTCGGAATGATGATGAAAAAACACATCCGAATGTGTTGGGAGAAAAATGGCCGCTATAAGAGAATGAACGGTCATAGAATGATGGTGAACACATAATATATTCGAATTGTAACCACACTGCCATGCTTTGAAATACAGATTGATAGCAGTGAAGTCTGGTCCACATACATACAATGCACGTGGTGGATACATATTCCTCAGATGACACGGTCTAAAATAGAATTTTTTTTACAGCACAAAAAAAAACTCGGTGAGTCAGAACACAATGACAGCAGTGGTAAACTTGAGTAAATCTCAGGGAAATCCGAAGACAGTGGAGGGGCAGCGTGCTTACCTGTTGTGTATTCGTATCCGCACCCCCTTTCAAAAGAAAAGTCAAGCAAACAAACAAACGAACAAACAAACAAAAACGGAAGAAAAGAAAAAGGCAACCCCCCCCCCCTGAAGAAATAAAAACAAAAAACAACAGTGATGAAACTCTCAAAGAAACAAAATCAAAACGAACCAAAAGCGATTACAACTGCCCCCCTTTCCGAATAACCCAAAATAAAATTAGCAAACAAACAAACAAACAAAACACCAACACAAAGACACAAACAAAAAAAACACACAAACAGTAACAACGACAACAACAGTAACAACAACACACCCGCACAGAAATTTAAAACAACAAAAAATGACATACACATAAAAACCCTTTTCTAAAAATCCTCAACATAATAACATACTCCGCCTTTCAACACAAATAATAACAACAACAGCAACAACAACAACAACAACAACAACAACAGCAACAGCAACAGCAACAGCAACAGCAACAGCAACAGCAACAGCAACAACAACAA